GGCCCCGCGCCGCCGTTGCGGCCGTTGGGGGTAACGAACGCGCACGTCGCGCGCTGCCCACCCCCAAGCAGCCCACCGCCACCCCCCCCCGCCGGCCTGCGGGGCAGTGCCCGGCTGCGGCGAAGGGAAATCCGCCAGGGCGGAGGAGGAGGAGGAGGAGGAAGAGGAGGAGGCAGCTCCCCCTCCTCCCCCGCCGTGTTTGTTGTGCTCCGCCGCCCCGTCCCGCGCCCCTCCGCGCGCGGCCCTTGACAGCTGCGCCCGCCGCCGCCGGCCGCCCGAGTCCGGCCCCAAGTTTGTGCGCGGGGCGAGCGCGGGGGGCAGCGCCGCCGCCGCGCTGGGGGCAACAGAAACGTGGAAAATAAACACAGAACACAGCGCTTCTTGCTCTTTAAATACTAGTAAAAGCCGCGGGGAACTATAGCGGGGAGAGCCGCGCGACGCTGGCGGCGACCGGGCGTCCTGGAGGAGGCGAGAGCCCAAGAGCAGACGGGGGAAGGTGCAGGGGGAGCCGAGGAGAAACTCCCAAGAAAGACGGGGAAAAGAGCCGGGATGGAGGGAAGTGCGAAGGGGGAGCGGGCGGAGGGAGACAAAGGTGAAGGCGGCGGCGGCAGTGCCAAGGGGAGCGGCGGGGGGAAGGGAGGCCCCGCTCCAAGCGGCCCGCGGGGGGTGGCGACGGGGGCGGCGGGGCCGCGGCGGGCGCTGACAGCGCAGCGGGCGCTCGCAGCCCGCGGCGCCCAACTTACTTCTTCCTGGCTCTCGGGAAAGGGGAAGCGCCATCTTTGCGCGGCCGGCCCCTAGGTCTTTTGTCTGTGGCTGCCGCCGCCGCCGCTGCTGCGGGGGGAGCTCCGGGCTCGGGGGGCTGCTGCTGCTGAGGCGGCTCCGCCACCGCCACCACCGGGCTCCTGTCCTCCGTTGACATCCTAGTCAGCAGGACGAGAGAGACACATGGATGGGGAGGAGGAGGAGGAGGAGGCAGGCGAGGCCGGCGCTGGGGATCGCGGTGCTCCTCCTGCTCCCGCGGCTCCTCGCCTCCTCACCTCCGCCTCCCGCGCCGCCGCCGCGCATCGCTGGCCTCAGCCGCCGCCGAGCCGCGCAGGTAGCCGGGGGAGCAGCGCGGGGCGGGAGGCGGGCGCGGGCGGGCCGGCCCTGGCGCACAATGACACCCCCCGCGCGGCTCCGCCGGGGCGGGACGAGGTGGAGAGAGCGAGCGAGCGAGCGAGCGAGGCGGCCGCTCCCGCCGCCGCGCGCCCCCCCGCGCCCTGCCTCCCTCCCTCCCGCTGCCCGCCCCTCTCAGAGGCCCCGGGCGCCGCCGCCGCCTCCTTGCGCGCGGGGCCCGCAGGAAGTTTTGACAGCTCCAGCGGCTGCGGCGGAGCGGCCCCCGCCCGGCCGCGCCACCGGCAGGAAGTTTAACTTTGGGGGGGAAACCAGGAGGAGGAGGACGGGTTTTGTTGGAAAAACGGGAGAACTGAGTGGGGGGAGGAAGCGCGGCGGGTGGGGCCGGGATCCCGCCGGGC